CATGAGAAAAAACCTGGTAACACATCTGGAGAGAAGGGACTTCGTAACAAATCGCCAACATGGGTTCAGGGAGGGTAAATCTTGCCTTACAGGCTTGATAGAATTCTACGATCAGGTGACAAAGATTAAGCAAGAAAGAGAGGGCTGGGCGGACTGCATTTTCTTGGATTGTCGAAAAGCCTTTGACACAGTACCGCATAAGAGGCTGGTACATAAGCTGGAGAGACAGGCAGGTGTAGCTGGTAAGGTGCTCCAGTGGATAAGAGAGTATCTAAGCAATAGGAAGCAGAGAGTTACGGTGAGGGGTGAGACCTCCGATTGGCGTGAAGTCACCAGTGGAGTACCACAGGGCTCTGTACTCGGTCCTATCTTGTTTCTGATATATGTAAATGATCTCCCAGAGGGTATCGATTCATTTCTCTCAATGTTTGCAGACGATGCTAAAATTATGAGAAGGATTAAAACAGAAGAGGACTGTTTGAGGCTTCAAGAAGACCTAGACAAGCTGAAGGAATGGTCGAACAAATGGTTGTTAGAGTTTAACCCAACCAAATGTAATGTAATGAAGATAGGTGTAGGGAGCAGGAGGCCAGATACAAGGTATCATCTGGGAGAGGAAATTCTTCAGGAGTCAGAGAAGGAAAAAGACTTGGGGGTTGATATCACGCCAGACCTGTCTCCTGCAGCACATATCAAGAGGATAACATCAGCGGCATATGCCAGGCTGGCCAACATACGAACGACATTCAGAAACTTGTGTAAGGAATCATTCAGAACTTTGTATACCACATATGTCAGGCCAATCCTGGAGTGTGCAGCCCCAGCATGGAGTCCATATCTAGTCAAGGATAAGACTAAACTGGAAAAGGTTCAAAGATTTGCTACCAGACTAGTACCCGAGCTGAGAGGTATGTGCTACCAGGAGAGACTACGGGAATTAAACCTCACTTCGCTGGAAGACAGAAGAGTTAGCGGGGACATGATCACCACATTCAAGATTCTGTAGGGAACTGATAGGGTAGATAAAGACAGGCTATTTAACACAAGGGGCACACGCACAAGGGGACACATATGGAAGGATACAAAAAAGTATTCCTGCAGAGAGACAGGACGAAGGAGGAGAGAGCCAGGGCAGCAGAGGCAAGGAGGAAGTGCAGGGAGAGAGGAGCAAACCAGGAAATCACAACTCCCAGCACAACAGTCCTAGAGACAAGAGGGGAACCCAAAACCAGCATCCCAGCAACACCAGAGGGGAGGGCAACACCATCAACCCCCTCTGCATAGAAACCCTCCCTTCCCCTCACCCTACCTGCCCCCACCCAACCCTACCTCCCCCCCACCCCATTCTGACCTTGACACCCCTTCCCCATTCCCATCATGTCCCCCCTCCCACCTTCCCCCCCCCTGTCCCCCCCTCCCCCTCCATTCCATACCCTCCCTATCTCTCCTCCCTCCTCTCCCCGTATCCTCCATGTCCCCCCTATCTCCTTAACCCACACCCTACCTGTCCCCTGTTCCCTTAAACACCCACCCCCCACCCAAAAATCCTCTGAGACCCTGCAAACCACCTCACAGATCCTCTCACCCACGGAACAGCTTTCCACACCAGCAGAATGCTCGCCAAGAAAGGGACATGAAAATGAACAGAAGAAAGTGAGCTTCAAGGCAATGTCCACTAACATAGATGGGATTTCAAATAATACAAGTGAACTTGGAGAATGGGCACTAGAAGAAAACCCAGACATAATAGCACTCACAGAAACAAAATTAACGAAAATCAAAACAAACGCAGTGTTTCCACATGGCTACTATGTAGTGAGGAAAGAGAGAGAAGGGAGAGGAGGAGGTGGTGTAGCTTTGCTACTAAGAGAAGGTTGGTGTTTCGAAGAGATGGTAATTCAGAACTGTGAAGGTTTCAGTGACTACATATTAGGCACCATAGCAACTGGAGGGCAGAAAATTATAGTAGTAGTCATATATAACCCCCACCGAATGACAGAAGACCCAGACAGGAATATGATAGAAACAACTTGGCCACCATCAATATAATAGAGAGAGCAGCTTCTGTGGCTAGCAGGAACGGATCCATACTTCTAATCATGAGAGACTTCAACCATGGGAAGATAGATTGGGGGAACAGAGACCCACATGGAGGCCCAGACACATGGAGAGCTAAGCTACTGGATGTGGCAACAAGAAACTTTCTAAGTCAACACGTCAAGGGACCGACAAGAATGAGAGGAGGGGATGAACCAGCCTTGCTTGATCTGATATTTATTCTAAATGAGTCGGATATAAGGGAAGTTAAGTTGGATGCCCCCTTGGGAATGAGTGATCATAGTGTATTGAGCTTTGAGTACCTGGTTGAGCTGGGAATTATCACCCCCAAAAAAGAACTGGGAACCAAGGGGCTGGCGTACCGAAAGGGAAACTATGAGGAAATGAATAAATTCCTATGAGATATACATTGGGACACAGAACTCGGAACCAAGTCCGTACAAGACATGATGGACTATGTCACCCAAAAATGTCAGGAGGCTGTAAGCAGGTTTGTCCCAGCCCGACAGGAAAAAACCGAGAAACAAAGGAAGAATCCGTGGTTTAATAGGGAATGTATGAAAGCAAAGGAGCTGAACAAAAGGGCATGGAGGAACTTCTATAATAACAGAACACCAGAAAGTCGAGAGAGATACCAGAGAATCAGGAACGAGTATGTCAGTGCGAGAAGAGCAGCTGAGAAAAGGTATGAAAATGATATAGCTAATAAAGCCAAGACCGAACCAAAGCTACTACACAGTCACATCAGGAGGAAGACAACAGTGAAGGAACAGGTGATGAAACTTATGGAGGGCGAGGACAGGTACACAGAGAATGACAAAGAGGTGTGTGAAGAACTCAACAAAAGGTTCCAGGAGGTCTTTACAATAGAACAGGGAGACGGCATGGCGCTAGAAGAGGTGGCAGCAAACCAGGTGACCTTGGATAGGTTCGAAATTACAAGAGATGAGGTCAAGAAGCACCTATTGGAGCTTGATGTGAGGAAAGGTGTTGGGCCGGATGGAATCTCGCCATGGGTATTGAAAGAGTGTGCAGGAGCACTTTGCTTACCACTCTCCATAGTGTATAGTAGGTCACTGGAAACGGGGGACCTACCAGAAATATGGAAGACTGCTAATGTAGTACCAATATACAAAAAGGATGACAGACAAGAGGCACTGAACTACAGGCCAGTGTCCTTAACTTGTATACCATGCAATGTGATGGAGAAGATCGTGAGAAAAAACCTAGTAACACATCTGGAGAGAAGAGACTTCGTGACAACCCATCAACATGGTTTCAGGGAGGGTAAATCTTGCCTTACAGACTTGATAGAATTCTACGATCAGGTGACAAAGATTAAACAAGAAAGAGAAGGGTGGGTGGACTGCATTTTTTTGTACTGTCGGAAAGCCTTTGACACAGTACCCCATAAAAGGTTGATGCATAAGCTGGAGAAAGAGGCAGGAGTAACTGGTAGGGCGCTCCAGTGGATAAGGGAGTACCTAAACAATAAGAAGCAGAGAGTTACAGTGAGGGGTGAGACCTCAGACTGGCGTGAAGTCACCAGTGGAGTCCCACAGGTCTCTGTACTTCGACCTATTCTGTTTCTGATATACGTAAATGATCTCCCAGAGGGTATAGACTCATTCCTCTCAATGTTTGCTGACGACGCCAAAATTATGAGAAGGATTAAGACAGAGGAGGACAGCTTGAGGCTTCAAGAAGACCTGGACAAGCTGCAGGAATGGTCGAACAAATGGCTGTTAGAGTTTAACCCAAACAAATGTAATGTAATGAAGATAGAGGTAGGAAGCAGGAGACTAGATAAAAGGTATCATTTGGGAGATGAAATACTTCATGAGTCAGAGAGAGAGAAAGACCGGGGGGTTGATATCACGCCAGACCTGTCCCCTGAAGCTCATATCAAAAGGATAACAGCAGCAGCATATGCCAGGTTGGCTAACATAAGAACGGCCTTTAGAAACTTGTGTAAGGAATCTTTCAGAACATTATATACCACATATGTCAGACCAATCTTGGATTATGCGGCTCCAGCATGGAGTCCATATCTAGTCAAGCATAAGACTAAAATGGAAAAGGTTCAAAGGTTTGCCACCAGACTAGTACCCGAGCTGAGAGGTATGAGCTACGAGGAGAGACTACGGGAATTAAACCTCACTTCGTTGGAAGACAGAAGAGTTAGGGGGAGCATGGTCATCACATTCAAGATCCTCAAGGGAATCGACAGGGTTGATAAAGACAGGCTGTTTAACAAATGGGGCACACGCACTAGGGGATACAGGTGGAAACTGAGTGCCCAAATGAACCACAGAGATATTAGAAAGAACTTTTTTAGTGTCAGAGTGGTTGACAAATGGAATGCATTAGGAAGTGATGTGGTGGAGGCTGACTCCATACACAGTTTCAAGTGTAGATATTATAGAGCCCAATAGGCTCAGGAACCTGTACACCTGTTGATTGACCGTTGAGAGGCGGGACCAAAGAACCAGAGCTCAACCCCCGCAAGCGCAACTAGGTGAGTACAACTAGGTAAGTACACAGGTGGAAACTGAGTGCCCAAATGAACCACAGAGATATTAGAAAGAACTTTTTTAGTGTCAGAGTGGTTGACAAATGGAATGCATTAGGAAGTGATGTGGTGGAGGCTGACTCCATACACAGTTTCAAGTGTAGATATGATAGAGCCCAATAGGCTCAGTAATCTGTACACCTGTTGATTGACGGTTGAGAGGCGGGACCAAAGAGCCAGAGCTCAACCCCCGCAAACACAACTTGGTAAGTGCAACTGGGTGAGTACACATACAACAAACACACACTCATAAACACAAACACACGCACAAGAAAAAGCCAGGACGTTTTTTTTCCCCCTCAGCCAGGGAAAATGATGGAGGACATCACCAAATACAGGGACAGGGGAGGGTGGTGGATACTACCTTTGAATGGCTCAACCAGACATTAGGGGGATTCGGCAGAGACCTGCAGGCAATGCAAATGGGATTCAACAGAGACCTGCAAGAAATGAAAATGGGATTCAGCAGAGACCTACAGGACATGAAAGAGAGGTTGTTAGAGACCTGCAGGAAATGCCAACATTAATACAGAACCAAAGGAGTGAGTTAGAGGAAGCCAGAGAGGAGATAAAGAGACTCAGGGAAAATCAGAATTCAAACCAGCACAGAGTATGCAACCTCCTAGAAACAGGGGACGAAGCTGATGGAAGGCTCCTTCCAGGGGGACTCTTTTTTGCAGAAATACTGCAGAACAACCCAAGTACCAAGGCCGCTCTTGAGGCAGCAGCTATGAAAGCAGCTACCTCACAGGAAGCTGCAAAGTGCACTGAACAAATGCCGGAAAGGAAACGATCAATTATAGTTGTAGGAGTACAGGAACCAGAGGGATCCAATCGGGAGGAGAGGAGAAGTAGGGACCGAGCAACCATGACAGAAATCTTGGAGGGACTGGATATGGAGGAGCTAGATGGAAACATAGAGAAGGTTTTCAGGCTGGGCATCTACAAGAGGGAAAGGAAACGATTGATAAGGGTAGTGCTCACGAACGAGGCAACAAGGGAGAAAATCCTGTCCAGGAAGAACAGACTTGTGAGGTTAGGGGGATACGAGGACATCTTTCTGCAAAGGGACATAACGAGGGAGGAGAGAAGGAAGGAAGGCTGCAGAAGCAAGGAGAAAATACAGAGAAAGGGGTGGGGATATGGGAGCCACAGGACTCGGCTCAGTGTCTCCAGGAACCTTAGAGGGGAGAGGGAATCCCCCCACCAGTAGGCCAGCACCCCCAGGGAGGATTGAAACAGAAGCCTCCCACCAACCAACCCCTCAGCCATCCCCCACCAATAATCTGCACCTCCCCAGACAGTAAAGTCCCCCTTCAGACCATGCCCCCCATGTTCCCTGACCCCAGACCCCCCATGCCCTTTTTCTTCCCCATCCCCTACCCCAGATCCTCACTGTTCCCGCACCCCATGCCCTTCCCACTTTCTCCAGCCTGTGACCTTCCCAGTTTCCCCACCCCAAACTCTCCTCCCTACCTCCCCCTCCCTCCCGTCAAGGCTTCCCTCCCCTCCCCTCCCCAACCTCTGACCTCCCTGTCAACCCACCCCAGTCTACCCTGCTTACCACAACCCATGACCTCCCACCACATGCCCATCCAGCTTCCCCATCCCATGCCCCAGCTAACCCCAACCCCGGACCCCCTAAGCCGCATCACGTCAGACCCCCTAGTTCTCCTGTTCCAGATTCTCCCAGCCCCCCTCTCACCCCAGACCCCCCAGGTCCTCCTTCCTAGGCTCACCCATCCCAGACAGCCCTTGCCCCCCAACTCCAGCGGAATCAACAGAAACTGAGAATGGACAGAAGAGAGTCAGCTTCAAGGTCATTTAATCGAATATAGATGGGATTACAAACATGGCTAGTGAACTTAGGGAAAGAACACAAGAGGTAAACCCAGATGTAATTGAACTCAGAGAAACAAAACTATCAGGAACCATAACAAATGCGGTGTTTCCCCAGGACTACATTGTAATAAGGAAAGAGAGGGAAGGAAGGGGAGGAGTGGCTCTAATGATGAGAAAGGAATGGAGTTTCGAGGAGATGGTTATTCTGGGCTGCGAAGGGTTCAGAGACTTCATAACAGGCACCGTGACGATGGACAACATGGAGAGCGAAACTGCTGGAGTATTCACTCTGAATACCTAGTATTCACCCAAGTATTAACTCTGAACGATTCAGACATAAGGGAAATCGATCTTGAAGCCTCCGTGGGTATAAATGATCACAGTGTACTGTTGTTTGAATATCTGGTCGAAGAAGTGTTAATGTACTCAAGGAAGGGACCAGAAAGCAGGAGGCCGGCATTCCGGAAGGGAAACTATGAGATGAGAAAATTCCTAACTGAAATAGCTTGGGAAACAGAGCTCAGAGGAAAGACGGATCAAGACAAGATGGACTACATCACACAGAAGTGTAAGGAGGCAGCAGACAAGTTCGTCCCAGTCCTAAAGGAAAAATATGAAATGGAGATGAGAAACACAAGGTTTAATCAGAGTTACAAGCTAGCAAAGCAACTTAGTAAAAGGGCGTGCAGAAACTATAGAAACAACAGAACACTAGAGAGCAGAGAAAGATACCAGAGCGCCAGGAATGAATACGTCAGGGTGAGAAGAAAGGTAGAGAGGCAATATGAAAATAACATAGCGAGCAAAGCAAAGACTCAACCCAAACTGCTGCCAAGCCACATCAGGAGGAAAACAACAGTGAATGAACTGATAATGAAACTGAGGATAGGGGCAGAAAGATTCACTTCAAACGACTAGGAAATGTGAGAGGAACTCAATAAGGAATTACAGGAAGTCTTCACCTCAGAGCAAGGAGAAGTCCCAGAGATAAGGGAGAGAACATCAAACCAGACACCACTAGAGGAGTTTGTGATTACCAGTGGGGAGGTGAGGAACCATCTGCTATATTTGGACGTGACGAAGGCAATAGGCCCGGAAGGAATCTCACCATGGATTCTAAAGGAAGGAGCAGAAGCTCTGTGCTTACCACTCTCCATGGTGTACAACAAGTCACTGGTAACAGGTGAGCTGACAAAAATTTGGAAGACGGCCAATTTAGTCCCAATATACAAGAAGGGTGATAGGCAGGAGGCATTGAACTACAGGCCTGTGTCCCTAACTTGCATTCCATGCAAGATGATGGAAAAGATTGTGCGAAAAAAGCTAGTGGAACATCTGGAGCGGATGAACTATGTAACACAACATCAGCATGGGTTCAGAGATGGCAAATCATGCCTAACAGGATTAATTGAGTTCTATGACCAGGCAACAATAATCAGGCAAGAGAGAGAGGCCTTGGCAGACTGCATATTTCTGGACTGCCAGAAAGCTTTTGACACAGTACCACATAAGAGACTAGTGCACAAACTGGAGATGCAGGCAGGAGTGAAAGAGAAGGTACTCCACTGGATAAGAGAGTACCTAAGCAACAGGACACGGACAGACATCGTGAGGGGTGAGGTATCGGAGTGGCGGGGAGTCACCATGTGGAGTCCGACAGGGATCAGTCCTTGGACCTATACTGTTTCTGATTTACGTAAATGATCTCCCAGACGGAATTGACTCGTTTCTCTCGATGTTTGCTGATGATGCAAAAATTATGAGGAGGATCAGGACAGAGGAGGATAGTATGAGGCTACAAGATGACCTAGACAAACTGAAGGAATGGTCCGACAAATGGCTACTAAAGTTCAACCCAAGTAAATGTAAGGTAATGAAACTAGGAGGAGGAACTAGGTGGCCAGTCACTGGATACCGAATGGGAGATGAAGTCCTTCAGGAAGCGGACAAAGAGAAAGATCTGGGTGTTGGTATCACGCCAAACCTGTCTCTCAAAGCCCACATCAAAAGAATAACATCAGCGGCCTATGCGAGGCTGACTAACATCAGAACTACTTTCAGAAACCTGTGTAAGGAATCCTTCAGAACCTTGTATACCACATATGTAAGGTCAATCCTGGAGTATGCGGCCCCAACATGGAGCCCGTACCTTCTCAAGCAAAAGACGAATTGGAAAAAGTTCAGAGGTATGCCACTAGGCTAGTGACAGAACTAAGAGGCATGAGTTATGAGGACAGACTACGTGAACTGCACCTCACGTCGCTGGAAGACAGAAGAGCTAGGGAAGACATGATCACCACATACAAAATTTTCAGGGGAATTGACAGGGTGAACAAAGATGGATTATTTAACATGTGTGGTACACACACACAAGGGGACACAGGTGGAAGCTGAGTACCCAAATGAGCCACAGAGACATTAGAAAGAACTTTTTCAGTGTCAGAGTAGTTAGTAAATGGAATGCACTATGAAGTGATGTGGTGGAGGCTTACTCCATTCAGTTTCAAATGTAGATATGTGTTACAACCATTGAGACTTAGTACGGTTCTTTCCCCGCAGTGATTAATTATATTAAATCGGCCTTGCCAACAGGTGTCTAGGGGTAAAGGAATAAAACACTGCATAACTTGGGGAAACAATATATCTACGTTAAGGATGACAAACATAACAATTAAATGGTACAGATAATAGCCAGAAATATTCTTTAGCATGCAATATTATAAATACAAATCCTTATTGAGCAATGAGCAATATCACCAGCACATGAATTACTTAATAGAGTAAATGCGCAATCATCTAACCAAAGAATTAACCAAGTATTAGCTAAAATAACTATTACCAAGGACTTAACTTAAAACATGTCTCCTCTCGACCAAAGCTGCCAGCCTCTGCCCAAGCGTCGGATCCCAGGGCAGGCGTCTACCACAATATCAACTAAACATCCACATAAACTATTGTAGAAATTCTACTAACAAAATGTAGTACTAATATTCAAATCATTATTAATCATAAGAGTATATAATAATGTTACATTACTCAATATAATTTACTGGCAAACAGTAATAAGAATTAGTGAAGGTTGAACTATACTCACTCGCTTGACATCAAGTTCCCACACTGGCCACATCCAAATATGGTCAACCCCCCACACGGAGAAACCAACATGAAAATACTTACAAAAGCCTCATACAATATAATGCAACTCAGGCACACAACAGCATGCTACAATATATAACATACAAGAATCTAATATCATCCAACTGGAAACTATAATAATTATAGAACAAGACAATAGTAATATAAGCATCAAGAGTAATGTTAGAATCCTAGTAAGATTCGTAACATCCCTCCGGTCCCCTAAGAAAAAAATGAAATTAACTGAAGATTGATTTCATTTTTTTGACTGCATGAAATATAACATGAAAATACAACATGAAAATACTTCAACTAAAATCAAAAAGTACAAAACAATGAAATTTCACACAGTAAAAAAAAAAAAAAAAAAATTTACATACTTCTTATGAATAAAGAACACTACATATTATGGCACTGCAACAGGAAATTCTCTGGATAAGGCATCAGCAATAACATTTTGCCTCCCAGGAATATGACGAATTACAATATTGAATTCTTGCAGAATCAATGACCATCATTTAGGGAGCCGGTCGGCCGAGCGGACAGCACGCTGGACTTGTGATCCTGTGGTCCTGGGTTCGATCCCAGGCGCCGGCGAGAAACAATGGGCAGAGTTTCTTTCACCCTATGCCCCTGTTACCTAGCAGTAAAATAGGTACCTGGGTGTTAGTCAGCTGTCACGGGCTGCTTCCTGGGGGTGGAGGCCTGGTCGAGGACCGGGCCGCGGGGACACTAAAAAGCCCCGAAATCATCTCAAGATAAGATCTAAGTATTCTCTGGTTTTTACACTTCATAGAGTTGATAAATGTCAATGGATTATGATCTGTATATACTGCCACTTGATTTACTGACAAATATGTCTCAAATTTCTTCACTGCCAATATTAAACAAAGTGCTTCTTTCTCAACTACAGAGTAATTAATTTGTGTTTTGTCAAACTTACGTGAGAAATAATAAACAGGATGTTCTAACTCATCCGGTCCTACTTGGAACAAA